CAGGTTCTCTGGCCTAGTGGTTGTAAGGAGCAGGAACCTGGGGGAAGGGAAAGGTTCCCCTGAGTGTCTGGTGTTTTCTGCCACTGATGTCTCTTCTTCCCTGACCCCGCCATCCTCTGCACCTCCACTGGTCACCTCCCCTTTCACCTTAGCCATCCTGGCTGGAGAAGTTCTGGGGAGATTTGAACAGGGGCTCTTCTGGCCATTCCTCACCTTGGCCACCAGGTGTCAGACTTTGTTCAGCTGGGAGGATGGTTCTGTTAACCATTTCTACCCTATCAGCCAGGCCCTGGAGATCAGGGCAAGTTGTGGGGGTGGGAAGGACACTAGAGGTGTCCTCTGAATTAGTGAGGCCAAAGGATCCTGAAGACTGAGACTGGGGAAAGGACCGGAACTCTGGCTCTAAAGCTTTTTCACAGTTATTCCCTTGCTCCCTCCCCCTCCACCCCCCCCAGCAAGGGCTTTGTCCCCTGCTGGGAAATTCAGGAACCAGGCTGAGTCAGGGAGCTTAAGAATTGAAGGGACAAAGGCAGAAACAGTTGTAACTCTAGAGAAGAAGGAGGAGCTGAGAGGAACCTGCTTATCAGAGCGTTCAGCCAGGCCTGAATCATTGTCCCTTGCCCTCTAGGTTAAGGGGAACAGAGGGCCTCCCTTTGCCCTTCCCCATTTGGGGTGGCTGTGGCAAGTGGGTGATCGTGTGTGTGTGTGTGTGTGTGTGTGTGTGTGTGTGTGCGCGCGCGTGCGCGCGCAAGATGAGTGCTTGAATGAGTCTCCTCACATAATGAAGTTGCCTCCTCCCCCAAATGACAGTTCTCCATCCTGTGCTCATTCTCTCACACAAAGGTATAAATTTCCAGGCATCCAAGGTGACAACAAGATTGCTAACCTACGCATGCTCTCCGGCGACGAGAGGGAGGATGGCCTTCGCTCCCTCCGTCCTACTCTCCCTGCCTTCCTGAGGACATAAGGACTTCTAGAGATAGTGCCCCCCCATGACTCTGCAGGGACCCAGGCATTCTAGGTTCTTATGTTGGCCTGTGGATACCTGGGCCCCTAACTCTAAGGCCATGCTTAAGAGGTGGAACCTAGATAAGCAGTGAAAATTCATCAAGTTCTTGAAGTAGCTATGGCTAGAGAACCAATGACAAACTCACTCACAGAAAACACTGTTGACCTATCATTTACAGGAGCGACCCGTCCTGTGGTGCTGGCGTTTCACAAGAGGCACAGTGCCAAAACCCAAAGGAGGGGCTCGCATCCCTGCTACCGTCATCAGGAACTATTTGGGGGAGGGTTCAGGAACTCAGACTCTGAAAATACCTTTTCAGACTGTGTGCCCCCCATGGGAGCTCTCTGCATCCTCACAGGAGTGAACTCCAGTGCTCCCCATTTGGGATGCTACTTCAGGCCCATTTGCTTCTCCCAGTCCATTTCCCTCCTCTGTTTCCCTCCGCTGACCACCCTGCCCTCAAATGCCACTCAACAATACAGCTTCTAGCACCTGAGAGTCCCTCCGTTGCCCCCTGATTCTTGGCCATTCCTGCCTTGCAAGTCCTCAGCCTTGGAAAATGCCCTCTGGCCATCTCTGGCTTGCTGGGGAATGTCACAATCCGTGCTGAATGATATCCCTGCTGATATCACTGGGCTCCACGTGGCTGCCCAGCAGCCCTTCTGATTTTCCTCTGGCTGTCCCTTCATTCCATCCCAGACCTTTCCATTGTTCTTCAGCCACCATTTCCTCACTCAGCAACATGTTTACATCTCTTCTGTTTAAAAACCAACACAACAGCACAAACAAACCTTTCTTGGTCTTGCCAATTCCTCTACACAATCCCTTTACCATCAAACTCTGAGGGAATATATGTACCGTTTCTACTGTCTCCCCACCAGATCCTTCTTTACTAACAGTTTGTTATCTGTGTCTCACCTGCTCCTTCAAAGGTCACCGTGACTTCCTGATTCCCAACGCCAATAGAATTTTCTCCACATTCTTCTGTCTATTCCTCTGGAGCATCTGAGACTGTTGATCAGCTGCCTCCTTCAAATTCTTTTTTCTCAACTTCTAAAACACTATTGTCTTGACACTCTTTAAACCAGTTTAAATCAAATTATTGAGTACTTTACTGTGCCAGGCCTTTTGCTACAATGCTGTAGGGGATTGGCCAGTTAGCACAGTTGGTAGGGTGTGGTGTTACAACACCAAGGTCAAGGGTTTGGATCCCTGTACTGGCCAGCTGCAAAAAATAAAATAAAATGCTGTAGGGTTACAAAGATCTATAAATCACGGAGCCTGGCCTCAAGCTGCTATCCGCTTGAAAAAAAGAGACAAACACACTTTATTAAGTCTTATCCTGCACCATCTCCATCTGTCTAAATTCTGCCCATCCTCCAAGAATGGTGTTAAATCCTACTTCGTGCATTTATGCAAAAGGTGGCTGTTGAGCACTTGCTGTGTGCTAGGCACTGGAAATACAGTAGTGACTTCACACACCATTTCCTCACCTCTAGGGCTCACAGGCTAGAGTGCCTGCACCCAACTAGATGCAGTCACGCCTTACTTGACTTCCATAGTATTTTTCCTGGGTCTGTCTTTCTGCATGTAATCAAATTCTGCTTTGAATTCTACCATTTGTGAGGAGGGGTTCCTATTCCCTTTTCTAGATTGTTTTGTTCAACAAACTAATTGAATACCTTCTTTAGGTTGGGTTCTAGGATAGAGAAAAGAGGAAAACTCAGAATCTGCCCTAAGAAATTCACAGTATAGTATTGTGCGAGTTTTGTGATCATGGGACCTACACCTTACTTATCTCTGTATGCCTTATAGCCTCTTGCGTAGTGCTGTGCACATCACAGGGCCTGACTCATTCTGCCTGTGCATGGAGACAGCCCAGATACCCTCTCCTTTCTATCTTGTTAGGCGAGGAGCAGGGCCTGCAGGTGCCCCTGGCCATGCCTGGGCAGATGTCTCGGCCTGAAGAGCATGGACCCCTCAGGGTTGGGCATGTTCCCTCCAGCTTGGGCCAGGTGACTCAGGGACATTCAGCAAAGCCTAGCTCACCCCACCCACACACAAGTCCAATAGCTCCTGTACACTCTGACCCCTCCCTTTTCTAGTGGCTCATGCCCTTGCTGGTACCTCCTAGTCTACATGGCACATGTATGCTTTTGTCCCTCATTACTTCAGGTAAGCTGACCTTTTCTTCCCAAGTAGACTGAAAGCTCCATAAGGGCAGGAGCCGGGTTAGATCTTAGACTTCTTTTGGCTTTCCTACAACAGTTAGCACAGTGATGGGCAGGTAATTAGGTCTTCAAAATATTTAACTGATTGACAAGTCATTTATTACTTCCTTAGCTTAAGACATTGTCTCTAAAAAAGCCCTTGTAAAATACCCATGTATTACCTGGGATCAGTTAACCTATTAATTTACCCAGTGGTTCTTAACTTAAGTGTCATGATATGCTGATATATCCCAAATAATCTGTAATTATTGTAATTGCTGTTGCTGTAGCCATGCATCTTAGCTTTATTGTTTCTGTTATCCTTTCCCACAATCTTAAAAGGATATTTAGTTATTCCCATTTTACAGATGGGAAACTGGAGATTAGGAAGCTTTAATTTGTCTAAGGTCATTCAGCTAGTAGGTCATGAAGCTGGGGGTTGATATGTTGTCTTACTTTGGAGAGAAAGGAAGTCACAGCTGAGAATTCTGACTTGGCCACAGTCTGTTGCCCTCCCTAGGAGAGGAAGGGAATGGAGGTGAGGGTCACTGCTCCTAGCACCCCAGCAGGCAGTCACAGGTGTGGGCCCTAGGGAAGCTGGACCTGAATGCCCAGGTGCCAACAGCTTGGGGGAGAGCATGAGAGGGGCAGGTGAACAGCTTTACTCACCATGTGGAGGGTGGGCTAGAGGGAAGAAATTCAAGGCAGGGATACAGACCTATGAGACCATTAGAGCAATCCAGAGAGGTGAGGATGACTAGGCAATGGCAGGCAGAAGGAAAGCCAGCGACAGACAAACTACTTGGGAGGACTGAGGGATCACATGGTTGGTGGTGAGAGCAGGAGCAGACAAGTCCAAGGTGTGCACGTCACCCCAGTGCACGCAGGGTGGGGAGCCTCTTCCCCCAGCTCTGTGCATCTCTACCCAGACTGTGGTGGGAGGGTGGGAACTGGGGGTGGGCAAAGATCAGGACAGCCAGCAATGAACACCAGTTCTGGGGCAAGCATTTTATTTGTTAATACAAGAATAGAAATTCTGCAATAAATATCATCTAATAAATAACATCTTCAAATAAATAAATATTAATACAACAAACTTAGAATCATGAGTGGGTGGGGCTGGGGGGCAGGGCCTGGGGGAGCTGCCACCCCACACCCCAAAATGCTACTGTAATGTAAACTTTCAGGAAATCCTGTGGCTGTGGCTATGGTTGCCCTCCCCAGCCTGAGCAACCCACAGATACACTGGGAAAGGGGGTGGAGAGGAGGCATCATGATGCCGGGTGGTGCCAGGTGGTGCCAGATCATGCTGGCAAGAAGATTTGGGGCAAGGTCCTGATGCACGGCTTTTGTTTGCCGCCCTGTGCCACCAACAGCCTTGGTGAATCCTGGGTCCAGTCTATCCCTGCCCCTCTGCTTTCAGTATTATATTATCTCTTCTAGTTTATAGGCCATCTCTAATGCAGACCCCACCCCTTCCATTTTTAATCCCATCTGTTATCTAGACCCTCCACCATGTTTGTTTCCTGAATTGGATGTGTAGAGTTATTTGGGGATGGGAGAGCAACACCCATCCAAGGAGAGTGGGGCAGCCAAAGGGCTTCACCCCAGAAAGGCACATGCTGTGGTGGCCCCCCACCCCTGTCCTCCAGGTGTGCTTCCTGGAAGTGCCACTTGAGGGGGGGGTGGTTACTGGCGAGTGGAGAGTCAGAGACTGTGACAGCCTTTGCACCAACCTGAACCGCTTCGGACTCTCTTGAGTATTACTTCCTGTGGAAACAGGACAGGGCCTATTGCACCTCTTCCCCAGACCTGTAAGACTTTGGGAGTTGGGGAGGGGACAGGGTTTATCTCATCGCATCCCCATCCAAGCCCAGGGGAGGGCCAGAAGCTCATGGCTTCTGTCTCCTGGCTCAACGAGTGTTGGCATATGGGTTTCTCCTTCCCAAAGTAGGTCAGGGTTTGAAAGAGGAAGGAAGAGGAGGTGGTAAAGGTCAGAGATCAGAAGCCATGGGCCTCCAGGTGCAGGGTGACCGCAGCTGCCGGAGGCTGCATCTTCTTCTTGAGCCGGTTGAAGTCCTTGGCTGAGCGCCACAGCCAGGTCTGCAGCTCCTTCAGCAGCCAGAAGTCATCCATCTTCTGGAGGAAGTCACTGTGGGCAGGGCCAGGGGCCCAGGTGGGCTCAGTCCCAGGCAGAGGTTGGGGCAGTGGGTAGCCGAGAGCTGCCATGACACCCGCAATACTGCCCAGCAGGCCCTGGAGGCTGGTGCAGAAGTGGGCTAGGCTGCGGCGCAGCTCGGCTGTGGCAGCCTGACGATTGAGGCCACGCAAGTAACACAGAAGGTGGCTGTAGGCCTCGTAGTTCTGGGTTAGCCGCAGTTTGTCATTGAGGCTTCGCCACACTTCCAAGTTGACAGTGGCCCTGGGCAGAGTCTCTGCTCCCAGCCGAGGTGGATTGAAGTCAGGCTCATTGAAAGGGGGCCCCAAGTAGTTCAGCTGTGAAAAGGAGAGGGCAATGGAAAGGAGGAGGGCAGAGTGGCCAGTTGCCACTGAGGAGATACCTGCCCCCAAAACTTCTATTTATTGTGTCCCCTGACGCTGGCTCTGTCTCCATACTAGCCATCTCAAGTTCACAGGCCTCCCCTTTGTCTCTCCAACAAGGATGTCATGTGCGTGAAGGTGACAGTTGAAGCAATGGGGGTGACAAGCTCGTCTATGGAGAGGTGTAGAAAGAGAAAACCACGCAGGAGCCACTTGGAAGGACGCGCTGGAAGGTTGGCTGGCAGGTACGCGTTGGGAGAGCACCCACCATGGGGGCAGGGCAGAGAGGAAGAGGAGCCTGAGGAGCCAGGAGCGAGGCGGAGAGGTGGAAGGTGGACCAGGAGAGTGCAGAGGCCAAGGAAGAGGAGCTCAAGAAGGCAGCAGTGCTCACAGTGTGGCTGCAAAACAGAGAGCGAGGAGAATGAGCCTAGGAGGTACTGGTGGGTTTGGCAAGAAGGACGTGCATGGCGACCTTGGAGAGAACCACTGCAGTGGCCTGGAAGCCAGATTGCAGGGGGTTAAGGAGTGAGTGGGTGGAGAGGAAGTGGAGGCAGAGGGTGTAGACCACTCCTTCGAGAAATTTGGCAGGGAAAGCCAGGAGAGAAAAAGGGTCGGGAACAAGAGGGGGTAGCAGAGTCAAGCTAAGGTTTTCTGCTCGGGGAAAGTAGAAAGAAAGTGGGTGTCGAAAGGCAGAGGGACCCATTGGCATCAGAGCTCCATTTGCTTCTTTGACATGCCCAGTCTCACCATCTGCAGGGATAGGGGACAGAAGGTACTCACACCCCAATGGAGGGTTCGGCTGATAGGAGCAGGGTTGTAGAAGGAAGGAGCTGAGGCAGTCCCAGGAGTGGGGCAGAAGGAAGGATATGGAAGACAGTACAGTATACGGAAGAGGGCAAAGCCCTTGCCAACCCTCAGGGGAGCGGCCTGGGGCCCAGGGAAAGGGATGAGGGAGATGTGTAACTGGGAGAGGAAGAAAGAAGAGAGGGGCGAGGCCTGGGATAGGCAAGGGCCCAGGGGGAGGTTCACACGCTGACAAGCACAGAGACAAACTAATTTCCTCGGTGTATCCTGGGGCTGGAGCCAGCTCCCCCGCCACCTCCTCCCTTTCCTTTCCCTGGCTCCAGAGTAGGGTCTGGGATGTGGAAGAGGAACACGGGAAGAGGGGGCCGGTTCCCCATGGTCCTCGGCTCCTCTGACTCTCCTTTCTTCTCTCCAGGGCTTTCTGAACACCTCTGGACTGCCCCAAAATACTTACAGCACAGCCTCCATCCACACCCTGAACCCCCTGCCACCACTGCCCTGGGTTCCTTGCAGCCCCCTTCCCCCAAGACCCCCCTAGGAGGCCCAGCCAGGATGGGAGAGGCAGACAGAGGGAGGCCCATGGGTCCAGAGCAGCAGGGCCCCAGGTCTGGGGGCAGAGTCGAGCTGGAACACAGGCATGGGAGGTGGGGCCCCCCTCCATCCCCACCCAACCCCGCCCGTACAAGAGACACCACAACACGGTGTAAACAGAGGAGACTTCCCCGGCCCCCAGGGGGAGGCGGGTGGCTGGGCTGGCAGCCAGTGGGGCAATGGGCCAAGGCGGGTGCGAGGCCTGCCCACATGCCTAGTCCTGGGGCCAGGGATGGAGGGGGGCACCTCAGAGGGAAGGGCAAGGAGATAGGCCAGACAGGGAGGCTGCTTGGAGCCAAAACGCCCCTCCCCATAACCCCATCATTCACCAGAACCCCTCCACCATTGTCTGCCTCTTGCCCCAACTCTCAGACTGATAAGCTGGATACTCACATAGGTCCCCGCCAAGCTGCGGAGTTGGTGCTCCAGGTAGCGGGTGAGGTCATAGGTTTTCTGGATGGAGGGGCCAGGCCCTGGGTCCCCCGTGCGATTGAGAGCTGGCACTGCAGGGATGTGCCAGAGCACCGTGCACAGGCAAGCTAGCATCCCCCACGAGTCCCCTGTGGACAGGATGGGCAAGAAGCATGAGGGGGGCCCAGGCCCAGGCAGGGAAGCAGCTGGCAGCCCCTCAGGTGTCTGTCCCCACCTTGGGCTGGGAGAGGGGGTGAGGGTGGGACACCAGATGGGCGGCAGAGGGGGGGTATGGAGGAGGGGAAGCATGTCTGGCCCGAGAGAGAGAGAGAGAGAGAGAGAGAGAGAGAGAGAGAGAGAGAGAGAGAGGAGAGGGGGCGTGCGTGTGTGTGTGTGTGTGTGTGTGTGTGTGTCTATCAGTAGGTATTTGAGAGTATATCTGTGTGTCAGCTGAGAAAGTCTTTGGCCTGTGTCATGGTGTATGTGCCAGTGTGTGTGTGTGTGTGTGTGTGTGTGTGTGTGTGTGTGTGTGTGTGTGTGTGTACACAGAGGGATGGGGCCAGGTCTAGGGACGGAGAGTTAGTATGCTTGGGTTCCTGTTGTACACCAGCCTCCTCTCCCAGTCTCCCAGTCCCACTGCAGCTTGAGGGGAGCCAAGGATTGGGAAACTGCATGTCACAGCTGGCAAACTGAGAGCAGCCAGCCCTAAGGTGGGCGCAGGAGAGAGCCTGCAGCCAAGAATGGAGGTGGCCATAGGAGGCAAGGTGTAGGGTCAGGCTGAAGGATGCAGGGCTGGCTGATGGAGTCAGCTGTGGGTATATTATAGGATATGACTCCTGGGTATGAGAAGTGTAGGGCAGGGTTAGACTGAAGGAGATTTAGCATTCACTGTCTTGGATTGGTGGCAGTGTGGAGGTTCACCCCATTCTTATCTAGGGTATGGGATAAAGAAAAGTTTGACTTCGGTGAGGCCCTCCCATCAGCCTGCCCTTGAGGGGGAGGAGGCGACAGAAAGGGGAGAGCTATGCATTTGTCAGCTGTTGGCACTGGAGAGTTTGGACATCCCAGGATGCTAGGGGTTGATGCTGTGAAGAGGGACATAGGTAGCTGTCCTTTTCCGGGCTTTTCCAGGCTTTTAGGTGAGGTCCCAGGTCAGGATTCAGTGAACATTTGGGAGGGGTAAAGACAATTAGGGTTAGGATTGAGTAGGGATGTAATTGGTATTGGGCTAGGTTAGGTTTAAGAACTGTGTTCCTTTTCAAGTTCAGATTAGTTTAGATTTGGGATTTGCTTGATTGAGTGTGGTTGAGATTTGAGTCCAGCAGGGGGATGTGGTTAGGTTTGGGCAGGCAGAGATTTAGCTGGGGCTAAGATTTGTGAATTTGTTGATTTAGATGTCAGACGGGGCGATGCTTGGCATGTCACTAAGAGTAGGGCTAGCTTAGGTTTTTTAAGTTTAAATAGGTGTGAGGTCGCGAGTCGTTTCTTTCCTCTAGTTTGTATTTCATACTTTCAAATTTTTCTGTAATGACATATGTTGCTTTGACAGTTAGAAATAAGTTGGAGAGGTTTAACAATTTGACTGTATTTAGAATTAGGATAGGGTTTGGAGTTAATAAAGAATAAAGACCTATCAGTTAGAGCGTGGTGTTATAACACCAAGGTCAAGGGTTCAGATCCTTGTACCAGCCAGGTGCCAAAAAAAAAAAAAAAAAGAAAGAAATCAAGAATGAAGACTAGGTTAGGTTTAGAGTTAGTCACAATGCTGGGTCAGGGTTTTAGAGAGTCTTACAAACTAGCAAGGGTTCAGGATTCAAACTGTTTATATAAAATGTCTCTTATAGAGTACAGGGGTCAGGTGGGGACTTTTGCCATAGCCCAACTGGTCAGTTTTGACTCATTCAGGTGCTTGACTGGCTGGCCTTACTGATGGAGCTTGGGAGTGCGGGTGCCAGCAGACACAGGGACCCTGCTCTTTTGGGTAAAGGGTTCTTGGTTTGGGAGGGGGGGAGTTGCGCGTGCACATGTGCACATGTGTTCTAGGACAGAGAGCAGGGTCAGGCACTTAACTGCTCCCTGGGGAAACATGCTCCCCTTTTCGTCTTCCCCATCTGCAGCCTGTGGCTTCCCCCTCAAATGCTCCTTTCTCTCATGCTTCCCTTCCGTTCCTAGCTCTGCCTCTCAGAGTTCCTTTCTATCCCTGTTCTTCACATCCCAAGACAACTCCAGGCCCTTCTCCTCTGCAGGAAGCCTTGGGCTATCCTCAGCCTGGGGATCTGGCTGAGTCACCTCCACCCTCCTATGGGTACCAGGTGGGGTTAGTTTTGGAGACTGGAGACCTGCTGAGACAGGCAGTGGCCCTTCCAGCCTTGAGGTAGCCTTCAGAATTGAATTGGCCTCGCTGAAAGTGAATGGCAATGACAAGGGTCCCAGCTGAAGCAGGAATTGGGGGTTGGGCTTGCCTCTTTACCCCCCTGCCTTGAGCAGCCCTGTTAGCCAGAGTTCTGGGACTGCACTCTGTCCCATGCAGGAGTGTGGTCAGGAACCCAGCTCTGGGCCTTGTTTCCCCCCTCCCCTTCTAGGCCCTGCGGGACATCCCTGGGGGGGACCAGCTCCCTACACAAGGACAGCAGGGAGAGGAGCCTTTGGATAAACAAGAGCTAAGTCATCTGGGCAGAAAAACGGCTCATGAAATTAACCAGACAAGTCCGGTGTTTCCAGGAATATTTCAGTTCTGAGGTAACTGTGTCATTGCAGGCTGGGGGGGTGAGGGGGGCAAGGGAGAGAGCAGAAGGCTCTGACTGACCAGCCCATGGAGAGAAGCAGAAAGAGGGAAGGCGTCTCAGGAGCTCAAAGGGAGAAGAAGCTAGGAGGGGAGAAAGGGAGGTAAAAGAACAGGGCTCTGCCCTCTCCTGTGGCAGCTCCCACTCTGGGCATGATGTGCCCATATCTCAGGCAGCAAAACTGCCTGGGGCAGAGAACACCTGTGGTTTCCTCATTAGTCCAAAACCCAGGCAGCCCTTAGCTCACTGCGTCCCTAAGAGGGAATATGCGGTGGGCGTCCTGGAGCCCTCGTCCATCCTCTCCTCCAGGTTCACGCCGTGCAGGTGGACCCTGGCCCATTGGGGGCTGTGTCCTGTACCCCTTCCCCCAGTCCTGGCCCCCAGCCCAGCCCCCGCCTCAGCTCTGCCTCTGGCTGCTGCCCACTGATTGTTTACATCCCGTCTCCTCCTTGTGTTTATAAATCCGGCTGAGCACGTGAGGAGCTAATGAGTGCAGCTCACGTTTCCTGCTGCAGCCCCCCACCCCCATCCTGGCCCCCGGGGCCAGCCCCTAATTCTATCCAGATCCCTGGGCCCTGGGAATCAAGGCCCCTTCATGAACACACTCACACACACACATACACACACACTCTCACACTCTTAGCCCACGCAAGGGCATGACACGGCTGCACGGGCAGGCACACACGTGTACACTTCGTTAGCCAACTGCCCCTCAGCCCCTGGCCTGTATTCCCCATGCTGACCTCACTCAGTGAAGGTGGGGACTCAGCAGTGCAGATGTGCCAGGGTGGTTAGGCTGGTGAAGACCAGCCAGCGGGAGACTCCGCACCTGAGACTGGTGGCTAAGAGCTGTAAGCCCTAAATGTTGGAGCCAGGGAGGCATTGCAGAGCTCCAGAGCTGGGGCATGATGGCAGCAAGCTGGGCTAAATATAGAAGCCAGAAGGAAAGGCCCTGCCCTCAGGCTGGGACCAGGATCAGCATCTGAGTGACCTTGGAGGGGTCTGTTGAATGGAATTGGGGGGATGGAATGGTTTAGGGGGTGGTATGTACAACGTGGTGTGAGATCCAGCAGGTGTTATGGTAGGAAACCACCCTAGGGGTGCCTCCTGACCTGTCTTCCCAGGGAAGGGCCCATAGAAACCCATCTTTCCTCCATCCTCTCGGCTGGCTGCCCTCCCCTCTCTTCCTTCTCTTCCTTCTGCCCTCTCCTTGGTTCCCTTTCCCCCAGGCCTCTGAGAAGTAGCTTGGTGAGCCGAGACACATGGGCCTGGAAGACCTAGCTTTGCCACTAGCTCATCTGGTGATGTGGGCTTGCGTAAGGAGGCTGCACTATGCATGCTATAGTTCCTCCCAGCTGAGACACTTGGGGCTCCATCTCTGCCATCCTCCTCAGCATCCGCCTCCCTGCCCTTCTCATCCAGCCTAAATGGCAGAAAAAGAAACTCAGGTCCAGCGAAAGAAGCAGAGGGCAGGTCAGCCCCGCTCCCTTGTGAAGTCGGAAACTGAGACAGGAGTTGGGCTTTGGTTGGAATGAGAAGGTTCCTGATTGTGCCACAAGAGGGCCCTGGGTGTGTGTGCTCAGGGAGAGCAGGGTGAAGGCGGGGGAGGGGGCTGAGCAGCCAGCGAAAGCGAGGCAGGGGGAAGAAGTGAAGGGAAGTTAGTCCAGGCAAGTGTGTGGGTGAGCTGCAAAGGGTGGTGTTCTCAAGAGTGTGCAAGAGGGTGTGGGCGGAGCCGGCAGAGAGTGGGCAGGAGCCACGGAGTGAATAGGCAGGTGGGATTGTGGGGAGGAATGTGAAGTGTCAGTAGTCGAGTAGCTGGTGTGTAGGGGGTGCTGTGCAGAAGTGTGAACGGGACAGAGTGTGGGTGTGTGTGTGGAAGGGAGAGGGAGCCATTACACCCGTCAGGAGTGGACACTTCTGTGGCTGCTGGGTGACAGTTGCTACCATCTCTGCCTGTTCCTCCCCTGGTTGAGTGTGTGGCTCCAGGGCAGCTAGTGTGTCTGAGCTGGGGGCCGGGGGGGGGGGGGGGGTGGGGGGGTGGGGGGGGGGGGGGGGGGGGGGGGGGGG